ACATTTTTTAATACAGATCATATGTTAGTTATATAAAATATGTATATTTTATTGTACATAGCATGTACTAAATATTACAAAACATTATAAAAGCATTTTTAATATAAAAATTTTTATAATTATTTAATAAAACTGATTTGTTATTGTTAATAAAAATTAAAATAATTTTACAATTCTGCAATAAAAGCTTATTAAATATTATTTTATATTAACATTATTTTAACATTATTTTATTATTAAACTTTATTTTAATTTATTAATTTGATTATATACAGTTGAAAAAATGCAAAAAAAGGAAAAAAAGTTGCAAAAAGTAGGTCTCGAATATGGGATCTTTAATATTCAAGCGATTCGCCTTACTCGATTAAAAAACGCTTGATTCTTTGTTGTACGCTGCTGTTGATCAAACAGTCTAACGCACGGCAAGACGCGTGACGTAAATAGCTTCGCTTAGTGGATATAACATGGACATGAACCATCTCAGAAAATAGACGTGACTTTTTGACCGATGCGGAAAATGGACGTGGCTATTTAGTTCCTAAGCCGGCCGGAAATGGACGTGCGTCACTAGCGTACGGCCTAGAGAAAGCGTCGTACGGAAAACGGCAGCGTGGCCTCTCTCAGGTTTCTCTCTGGTCTAACATACAAGATATCAATATTCAATAGATAAATGTGTTTTAAAAACTTTGTCTAGTGCCATATTTCTTTTTAGAAAATAATTTTTTTTTATTAGATGTCATCGATCAGATGCATAGACGGATGCAATGTGGACTTGTCATAAACTATTCCACGATCGATATTTAGCGATATTGGCAATACTGAAAATCGGGACTATGCGCGTCCTCTTCTGGTCGCTCTAATAGTTTTTCTTACACCGCGTCGGTTTAGAACATAGTGTGAATGCTCCGCGATTAATTGCGTATTTTGTTAGTTAAAAGTGTAAAATAAGTTTAAATTTTTATTGATAGTGTTGATTAAAGTGACGGGTGATTACCGGAATGTATTATTTCCTGCAATTCTTGCAGTTTTCATAGTAAACCGCGGATCGAAATCGATTTTTTCCAATGAATAGAAAAACTGTGACGTCACAGATGCGAGCGCGCGATATTTTTTTCGTTAGAACATTGAATATTGTAACATTAAAAGTTTGTTGGTGAGTATGTGTGTGTGTGAGTATGAAAATACATATGTTGATATGGCATACAATAGGTTGAGATGAGATATTTAAGAAATATAGGGTGATGTAACAGAAATAAGCAGTTATGAAGTTGATTTAGAAAGCCTACCGCATCGATTGGCCATTTTGTAAATGCAACAATTTTAGTGGCATTAAAGTGGTATAACTGACTAAATGACTCTATACGTTATATTAAAATTTTGCTTCTTCATTGCGAATATTTACGTGAAAATCGCGACATGATTTTGTTCACTGTTTGTTTCATATTTTTTTCGTTAACTTTCCATAATTAAGAAAGAGCGTATTAATGCGGAATCTATAAGTTTTTAATGCTCAGTACGTTGCCTGTAGCAAATTGTAACTTTATTTAAGAAGTTTGTCTTGTTTGTTTAGAAGACCGGGTATTCTAGTGCTAGTAAATGACGCCGACTGGGAATTGCTGGTATGTATTTTCTCTTTTATCCGTTTAATATCTCTTTTTTTTATTTGGATATCATGGATATTCCAAATATATCTGTAAGAGGATGAGAAAACATCGATTTATTGTTAATTTTAAGATTTTTTTTTTAAAGGTTTTATGGAATATTATACAGAATTTTCAAATGTCTTTAACCTTATACTTTTTAATTACTTTTAATTACTTTTAATATTTTCTTCACGAAAGTTTCGTAAAATTAATCATGTTTAAGTTGTTAAATATAATACATTTTATAAGAATAATTATTTTGTTAATAATTTTTATAAAAAAATTAAGAACATTATCCTATTACTTGAGTTGGTTAATTATTTAGTCATTTAATTAATCTTGTGAGCGGATTTTTTATGAATAAAATGTAGTTTATTATATTTTGAATATAGAATCATTAAATTTTATATTAAATGTTATATATATGTATATATACAGTCATAGATGATCATAAAATAATAGTATCACAAAGAAATAGAAGAAATTTAAAAGTATATATTTATTATATTTTTATAATGATTATTGCAGATTTCTTGAATCTATTTTAACATTTACATTTTTTATTGTAGGATTTAATATATACTTGATGTCTATTTAGAATTTTTTTCAAAACGAGTTTTGCGTGCGTGTTTTAAAAGCACATTGGAATTATTAAACTTTTATTCTTTAAGAAAATCTGTTAAATGCAGATTTAAATGTCTTGCGAGAATGGCAGGCAGATTTAAATTCAAAGAGGATTCAATGGACTACTTAGCTATGCGATTCTTAAGTCGTCATATTGATATGAAAAGTTAATGCACCATGTTTGATGAATGAATCTTTTGAAGATGAGATTTATATTTTCAGATTATTCTATTAAAAATTTATTAGCAAAGAGACATATATTAATCTTTTAAATCCATGTTTTTTTTATGATACTTGTTTAAATTTTACTAAATCTTAGTTTTCCATGTGATAGACTACTTTAATATTTATTTTGCTTATAATTTTCTACGTCAATTTTTTCAATCATTTTTTGTTTACATTTTTGTGACACGTTTGATGTGCATCTTGTCATGAAGAATTAAAGAACTGAAGTAAAAAAAATTATTTTAAAATTTAATTTAGATGATTTAGAGAAATTAATCAAGTACATGATCAAACTACTATTATTAAAATAAATAAACACCGCAATTAAAAAAAATTGTGTTTGTGTTTACCTTAACTTTAATTAAATTAAGAATTCGATTCGTTCGCGAGTGTCGAAAGATTCCCAAGCGGCGGTTTAAAATATTAATCTCAAACGCGCGAAGAAGTGCGATAGCGGCGGACGACGCCCTCGTCGCGCAGTATTTCTTTCCCCGTGCCACCCCCACGGCGGATGACGCACGGCTGTTCCTGGCGTATGACAAACGGGATACCCCGTGACCGGTTTTTACAAATGGCATAATCGGCCTGTCGGCCACCGCCGCCGCCGTCGCCGTTGCCGCTTACACGGTAGATAGGGTGCGGGATAACGAAACGGCTCCGGACGCTGAAAGGGCGCAAATGACCTCGGTTTGCCACACCCACGAAGAGAATTATCATTTTAAATTTGTAAATGTACATACCGCGGCTATTAGGAGAAGAGACGGCGGTTCTGTCCGGAGTAGCGCTCGAACGGGAAGATGCTGCAGCGTCGGGGAACGTCGGAACGGAGGAAAAGATGATGGCTCCGGCCATTATTATGATAATACCGTCGCTTCTCCGCGAAGCTTCTCCTTTTCCGCGCACTTCGGCTTTTGCGTTTCCGCGTCTTTTCGTTCGGCCCTCTTCTCCCTGGCCGTATATAGTATATGTTGTCCGCCTTCCCTTTCGCCGCTTCTTTTGCTGCCCGCAATTTTTTTCTCTTTGCGATATAGTCGCGCTCGTGGACGTTCTAGTCAAACTTTTTCGGACGTTCAAGTTTTTCGATTTTTGCATGTCGATGTAATGGATACGCTTGCTATTGATGGTAAAAAGATGTTGAAAGATACGAGCGTGAAATTGTGAATAAGGTCTCCGTAAAGTCAAAGTATGCTCTTATTTGATAGTAGGCACATATACACGGCGTCCTAGATTCACCGAACTTTCTTTCATCTATGGATTTTTTGAATCTGGATTAAATTTTTCTTTGATAAAAATGTCAATATATTAATAATTCGTATAGTCGCAAGTAATTGAAGTTTTAGGAATTTTCGTAATAAAGTTTTTGTGAAAATAAATGACAATATCTTTATAATTATATTTTTCCTAAGAAAAATCGATGAAATTTCTTAGGAAATATAAATAGATTGACCTATATCAGATAAAATATTTTCTTAAAATTTTTTGTCGCGTAATTTCGCGGCAAGTATTAGTCATCTTTTAAGCCATTCGATTGATCAGAGATTAAAGAAATATAATTTCACAGGGTGAAGGCGATTATAAACTGTGTCCGCGGGACAAAGTGCTCTTCATCTCGACGTTGCACGGAGGATAGAAGGTATGAATTTCCGATATTGAAAATCAACGAGGACAAGTGCGATCCACCCGAACATCGTGGACTCTTTTTGATATGTATAAAAAATTTTATATCTATTTTAGATTGTCGCATTGATTGCGACATGAGAAAATAAAGTTCTTTCTCGCAGGATATGCGTCTGTGATTAATTTTAAATAGTGATTATAATATTGAATTGCAGAGAGAGAGAGAGAGAGAAAGAAAAAAGTATGCTGTCTTACAGAAATTAAATAATTAAAATCAAAACTGTTTTAATGGTATTAAATTTCAGTTAAGTAAATATTTGATTGATTTTTTTTTTAAGTTTTAATTTTGATATTATTCACTTATATTAGTTTGCAAATTGTAAATTGTTATGATTTATACATGATAAATGTGTACATATTGTGTGCACGATAAATTTTTTGCATTTAAAAAAATTTTCTTTTAAATTGCATCAGTTAGCAGTCATGTATACAATTTGATTTTATTTTCAGTCACGTGTGGATTGCATATATCCTTTGTTGGTTTCACATTTTTATTTTCGAAAAATATATAACGTAATATAAAAAAGAGGTATTCATTCGAACTTTTATCATATTTGCATATGATGGATTTCGAGGGATATTTAATTAAAACCGAAAATAATCTACATCTAGAAAACAATTATTTTTGATAAACAAATAAAGAATTTTCTCTCTTTCTTTTTACATCTTTACATATAAACTATTTAAAATAAAAATTAGTATCAACGTTATATTATTTTTTAATGACATTTTAGTCAATTCCGAAACTATACTATTCTTCGAAACCTCGCATCTCTTTCCTAGTTTCCTAGGCTGTAAATGCGATCTGACAGCAATGCGTACCTCTTACATACATTACGGGTTTGAATAGCTTTACGTATGTTGCGTCACAATTGCGTAACAGCGCGAGATAACGCGCGTTTCCCTCTCGTTGAGGCGAAAGAGTTGAGCGATGTAAAATCGATAGGGAAATTTTGTCACAAGAACTGTGAAATTGTCAAATCGTGTTTTATATCGACAAATATCTATGTTTGATAGCTTTCGGAATCCCGGGCAAACATAAAAGCTACATATTTTGAAGCTTTTATTTACAATTTTAACTATACAACGCATATATCTGTTTCATTGTAATACATCAATATTATATTTTTGATTAAAATTACTGTTACATTTTTTAATTAAAATTTAAAAAAATTTTTCTCACTTTTATTTATGTGTTCCGATTATACACATAATCATGAGTCTAGTTAAAAATGTAGAATAATAATTGATTAAAAAGTTATTTTTTGCTCTTTTTAAAATTGTGCAGATTGATTTACAATTATCGTATAAAAGCAAATTCCCTATTTATATCTAATACAATAATAAATAATGATGTTTTTAATTTTTAACTAAGTTTGAAACTAAGAACATTGTTAAATAAAAGATTTAAATGAAATAAGAAAAAACAAAGATTATCTATTTGCATCGTTGAAAGTTTGATTCGTGGGGAGATAATCTTTCCTTTCTATTATGTATAATACAAAGATATTCTTCCATCAAGATTCGTGTGCGTTTCACATTTAAATAAGAAATTTCCCCATTTCATACACCACTCGCAAACCACTCTGGAAGTATAGAGTCGTGTGTATAGATTATACGGACTGCGAAATACGTGCGTGCGAACGCTCTCAGACGGCTCCGAATATCAACGAGACAGCGTCGCGGGTAAATACGAAAAGCTCGTGATGCCGCAACATCGACGAGCAGCGTCGTGCATTAGCGGGGAGTGTTTCTTCGCATGCGTCATCGACGCGCCTTGCAATTGCAGATTAGTGGACTCGGAACCGGACGCGTTTCACCAGGCACGTTTCCCCTGTCGCGGCCGACTTGTTACAAGCACGTACGAGCGCATTTCCTCGAGCAAACACGCACGGATGCACCGCCGCGGCGCATAGCACGTACGTAACGCGCAATCCGCCCACCGCACGCACATATGACCGTATATAATATAGTGGATCCGCAGCGTCCGTAATGTAATCATGGGTGACACAATTAATCACTGGACCATCCAACCCCGCCAGGCCATTAGCGATTGCGACACACTCGGGCTCTCGTTGATAGACGGATGCGTTTCGCATAGCCGCATACACGTGAAATCTCGTATAAACGGCAAGTGAACGCGTACACACACATAAAAGGATCAGGATATGCACGGGAGAAAGACGGATTCGCGCTGCCGGTCTCTTCCTCATTCATGATCGACGCTCGTTAGGATCTTTTCCTCGATTTTCCGCGCGGCTCATGTGCGTGATTAATTGGTGCCATTGTGTATCGCTAGATTATTATACGGTGTAGTGGTGGATCTCATCGATCCGCCGGCGGCTGATTGGTGCCGATGTCGCGAAATCTATTTCATAGACGTGTCCCTAACCATGAGGTCCGATATTGATTTCGATACTAACGAGGCGCAGTGTTGACTTCGCGACTTGCATAATTGCAGCTGTTCGCTTTAATTAGAAGCCACTTACCCGTTCACGGAAATCGATATAAAGCGTTCTTTGTAAAATTATGCCACATATTTGTGTAGAATATTGCTATTCTACAAACTGTACACGTATATTCTGCAAACTACACTATATACGTATATGCATGTTTGATTCAGCAATTGGAATAATGCATTGATTCTTTTAAAATAAACATTAAACACTAAGAATCCTCACAGGATTAAGTTTGTATTTAGATATTAATCTAATATCAATCTGCATAATTTTTAAAACTGTGAAACAATTATCTTTATACATTGAACTCTTTGAAAAAGATGAGAAATTAGATTTTGCCAAACATTATTTCTCTGTTCAAGTCGTTTTAGGTCTATTTTCTAAAACGACTTGAAAGAATATTTTCCCCCTTGATCTCATGTCGGTGTTTAAACGTTCGCATGACTCGATCTACTTCGATGGAAGTTAGGCACGTGCACAGATTCGTCGGGAATTAGACTTGGAAGGCAAAGGTCTGGATTCTCGCGAAGATGAAATCGGCCCGGTATCGCCGCAGTATTAAAGTTTCGCGACGTCTCTAACAGTTGTTTCACTTTTAAATGTATGTATAATTTCTGTTATCTCCAACTGGCGCGGTGTGCGCCGCGCGATGCCACGAAATATAAAATAATAAAGGGGCACAACGAACGGGGTGGGACGGCGGGAACTTTGGCCATTACGTCGAAACAGTTTGGCGCTAACGCGTCTTCAACTTTTAACGGCTCGACCTTATATTTTGTTGTATCCTTTTCCGGTTTTGCTATTCCTCGCAAGTTAGACAGTCGAATCTCGTGTAGCTAATCGTGAACTTCGGCCGAAATACGTTGGAATCGTCTCGCTAAGACGTTTTAAAATATCAGGGTTAAACACTTGAAACAAAATCCAGAACTCGCGGAGTGCCGGGTATCTGCTTTTTTCTCTGTCATCAGTAATTACCTAGTACTTAGTCGCATAATTACATTTAACCCGCGGCACCCTCGCGGGTACTATATTTATTTCAGTTTACTGCCACCCGACCATTTGGTTACTAATCCTCTTAGTTACTTCCTATCTGGCGCGCCGGTACGCGACTTTTGTGTATTTCGATTCCTATGCGTGCACCGCGGTTAAGTTGTTTAATATATGTGCCAAAATATATTTTTTTTTCTTTATTTACCAAAATCAGCAAAATAAGTGTGTGAAACGGATTGGTTTCCATTTGTTTCGCTACGTTACAATATTATTTTGCGTCTCAATTTTATCTTGGTTCGAAAAAGTCTCAATGTATTACATAATATTATGTTTCTTCGAGTTATATTTCTACTTTTAGAAAATTATAAATTTTTTCAACCAGTACGCTTTAAAAAACATCGTTTGTGACTATATTTGATAGGGAATTTATTTTTAATTACAAAGGCCTCTCTAGTAGTCCGTGTCGTGCATGATATATTATCATTGTGCATCATCTCTCGTGCGAGTATCCGTGTTTTTGTGATAAGAGTAGCAAAAGAGAAGCACTTAAAAATTGCAAGCTTGTCATCTAATGGCACGTAGGGCCGTGCTTCCCTTTCGATCGGGGACGAGGCAAAAGAGCACGCATAGTAGGTCGCCGTGAAAGATCGAACGAGATTCGTTTGTAAGGACGAATAATCTCGCACGGGTAACACCTGCCGACCAGCGCTTGGCTGCGAGCCCAAAATCATTCCGACAGGATCGAGTCCTATTTGACTGGTCCCCTCCATTTTCACGTTTTCTCTTCGCTCGATACCCACTTACACATCAGTTTACCAGTCATGATTCTCCCCTTTCACCCATGTTTTTCGTAAAAATATTACCGAGCGAACCATGAACATAAATCGAGTAGTTTTACGAGTCATAGCGAGTAGACGCTATCGCGTTACATTTTCTTCAAGTGCGACGCCCGTATTGTTCCTCATTTCACGATTTTTGACGCTGATTATCACAGACCGACTGCATTAAGGATTTCAACGATGTCCTTTTTACGGTGCCTTTTTTACGGAGCTTTTTCTTGCTCTCAGCCCGAGAAAGAAAGGTTTCGCTTACAAAGAACATTTACAAATGTCTCTCCGCGACCTTAATGAGCTTTGCACGTATTACAGTATAGCTTAATACCAAAGTATGTCTGAATGCAGATTTAGAGAAAGAATTAAAAACAAATAAGTACGGCATTGTGGAAAAATTTTCTAAAGAAAAAAACGCTTTTAAGAAAGATCTTATTAAGAAACATCCTGATTCCGTAAAACGATTTATTTAAAATATTTTTATACATTTTATTTTTTATTTTTGAAACACTATCAATATTATATTGTATTATGTAGCAGCATTAGTTCACCATTTGCCGTTGGTTGTTATCGATATATCAGTGAACTGAAGCTTCGACCAACTTTTATGTTCCGATTCTGCATGTGCTGAAGCAAAGTAATTTTATAGGACATTAAATTTTGTTATTATTATATGTCAATGGAAAACCACATAAATTTAACACGAAAATATTTTATCTTTTGAAACGTTTAGCGTGTATATTTTACGCGTAACAATATTACGATAAAAGACCATACAGATGACCTTTTTGCAGTAATCTGAAAAATGATATGCAATATAATATCGA